TACCCAAGAACTATTGCTTGAGCCTGGATTGAAGGAACATGAAGAAAATCTAAGATCCAGGGGAGGTGCCTCATGCCTGTAATCCCAACACCCCACCCCACCCCACCCCCACAAAAAAGAGGAGTAGCAGATAGGAAGAGGAGGAGGAGAGGAAAAAATTCAAACCCAAAGGAATGGGGAAAGCCGGAACCTAAAGTTAAATGGAATCATAGAAAATAGACAAAATGTATAAGAACTAAACTAACTGGGTTCAAATTCTAGCTCTGCCATTCACTTGCTGAGCTACCCTAGGCAAGTTATTTAGCCTCTTTGTGCCTTGGTTTATTAATTTGAAAGTGATGTTGATAATGATATCTCAGAATTCAATGGGGTTGAATAAAGCTTACAGTAAATGCTATTTAATTATTACCTGCTATTATTATTATTATTATACATTTTAGTGGGTAGACTATGATTCCTACATCTTACATGAGAGAAACACTACCACTGAGCTACACCCCAGCCAAGACTATTTTGAAAGACTTACAGAATGCTGGAATAGATATAGAGGGGTCAGTGGAAGGAAAGGAAGAAGAGAGGAAGGAAAGGCAGGCAGGCAAATGAAGCCTTATTAGTTAGCCCTGAAACTGAAGTTTCTGATTCTCAGAAAAATATTCTATGCCATTTCTAAAATATACTATTACATTTCTAAAATAACTGATCATCTTCCTGAGATGGACGGTTTCTTCCAGTAACCCCAACTCAGGCTCTGTAACCTGGCTCTATGGCGACTTTTCAGCGGAGTTTACATCCTGGACACTCAGCAAGTTTTAGATAATCTGTATGAATTTACTCATCTTTAGGCTCTCCAAGAGTAAGTAGCCAAGGAAATTTGCCTTCACGTATAGGCCCTGGGTACATGTAGAAAGACTGTGTTTAGGAATAGGAGACCAGACTTCATAGCAAGGCTAGCAAAATTGTATTGCTAATCTGCAATGTGGAGAGTGTTTCTAAGTCAGTCACTAAGCCAATGAGAGCTGCTCACTTCCGAGGTAGGCAATGGTTATCCTTACTCAGGGGGCACTCAACTTGTGCTAGAAGGAAGGAGAGGCTCCTGGGAGGGCATTAATAACCCTTAGATGATCTAGGGAAGAAATTCCCCCAGAGCCAAGACTTGCCTGGAGAAAAGATCACCCAGATATCCAAACCCTGGGAGTTACTGTTTTTGAGCAGAGGACACCTGGAAATAAATACATTTTCTTTTCTGGGATATTAAAATTTAATAAAGGAAGACGGTAGCTAAATATTATTTGGGGATATAAATGGATGTTTTTATTTCCTATATTTTCTCTACTCTCCCCCTCATGTAGTCAGTTTTGTGGTGTATCTTAGGAAAGAGAAGTGGCAAAGCAGCAAAACAAATACTTTGCCAGTCTTTTTAGCTTTTGCGTTCTAAAAGCATAAGCCCATAAGTAAGGATTGGGTACAGGGGCAGAGATCAAGTATCTTGCCCAGAAAACTAGAGGGAAGAAGAAATATTCTTCTAGGTGGGTGTGGTGGCACATGACTGTAATCTTAGCTACACAGGCAGGAGGCTGAGGCAGGAGGATTGCAACTTGGCCATCTTGTAACTTTCCCTGTCTTGAAAAAAAAAAAAAAAGCTGGGATGTATCTCAGTAGCACAGTGCTTGCCTAGCATTAGTAAGACCCTGGGCTCAACCCCCAGCACCACAACAAACAAATAAAATTCTTCTCTTTTTCACTCTCTTCTCCTGGGTGGGTGTAGGGGAGAGCAGAGAGTGCTCTGTGGGAGCTCAGAGTGCAGACTGGTCTCAGCTTCCCAAAGCAACACTTTGGTTCCCAAAGCAACACTTGGTTGGCAGGAAGACTCAAAAGAGGAAGGACTGTGGGGAACGTCATGCTAGACAGACCAATAGGTGGCAGCAAATAATTCTGTGCCTCAAGTGTCTCAGAAACTTTGGACTGGATCCTAGAACATCTGAAAGGACTCATGTGGGCAGAGGGCTCAGCAGTAATTGCTAGAATCTAAGAAACTAGAAGCAAATGCCCTTATTCCACCCTCAGTTTCCACACCTGTGCCTGGGTATGTCCTACAATCCCCAAACTGTGCTATCACCTGGGTTAAAGGAAGAACGATTGGTACTGTTCTCCCAATATGTTGGTTTATCAGGCACAGAGGGGAGAATGAGAAATTGAGTTTCAGAAAAAGTCACATCTCTACCTATTGCTGCAGTAGTCAGCTTACTGTGAATTCTAAGGTTCATCACAGCTCCATTTTGTTGACAGAAAGAGTTACTGTCATCTTATGTGGTAGAAAGGAGACCACCAGCTAGTAGGGCCATGAAACTAATTTCTGGCTTCCATTCCTGTGGAATGTTGCAGTCTAAAAATGACTCCAGTGAAAGCTTCTGTGATTTCTTGGCACCAGAGTCTCAAAAGAAGATGAACTAGATTATTGAAAGGATGTTTTCCCGAGATAATATGAAGCCAAATCAAAAGTGGTTAATATAAGTCAATTTTTTCTGTTTGATGAATAGGAACATCACAAATGTCACTTGAAGCTGGGCATGGTGGTTCATGCCTGTAACCCCAGCACTCAAGAGGCTGAGGCAGGAGGACTGCCATAAATTTGAGGCCAGCCTGGGCTACATAGTGAGTTTAAAGCCATCCTGGAATACATAGCAAAACTTTGTCACAAAACAAAAACAAATGACACTTGAGAGACAGTGGAAACCAGTGGGTAGGAAGGGAATGTTCCCTAACGTACATTGGCGATTAGCTGTAATTGCCTACTCCCCTTTCTCCCTACATTGGTATCTGCATTGAGTTCTGGACTAGATTGTCTCAAACAGAGGAGCACATATGCCAGTAAGAGGCCTAAATTGAGAACTACCTGTCTTTGGATGGGAACATACTTGATTTTCATATTTCTAAAGCTCATAAAAGTCACACTATTTAATAGTTATTGAACAAATGTTTGCCTGTTTAAGGAGTGCTTGGAAAGTTCACATTTGACCAGTTTGAAGGACTAACATTTTCAAGTATTGTTCAGTGTTGATTACATCATCAGGCTCAGAGACAAAGGCAGAGGGACAGAGCCACAACTGAGCTGAGTTCTTCATTTTGCAAAGGTATGATATGCATAGCAGTGGTAAGAGTATGTGGACTCGGAGAAATAGAAAACATGGCCACAGTTTCTAGTTACCATCTCATGTGAGTTAGGAATAACTTATTAATCTTTGAAACTACCCCTTGGTGGCAGTTTGGCTACACTTTCAAGTGTTTCCCCCACCCTAGTCAATAATTCAACAGAGGAAAAGTCTATCTTCAGGGGCTTGAGGAAAGAAGGAGGTTGGGAAACCCCACCCATTCTTCAGTTAATTGGAAATGCGGAGCCCCTCAAGATACATTGTTGCTATTATTTGTAGAAATCACACCTTATTCTTTCAGATTTGCAAGGAAGGAAGATCTCCACAGGCAGAGTGACTGAATCTTCCGCTGTCCCTTGTCAAAACCGTAAGATGAGGGTTTGAATTTAATAAGGGCATGATCTGGTTTTCTTACATGTTCCAGCAATATTAGGATTAACAAGTGATCATCAAGAAGAAAAGGGCAGAGACAAGAGAGAGGTCTACCAGGCCTCTCATTTTTACATTTCATTTGGACCTTAGAAACCGCAGTTAAATTTGAGAGGGCTGTTGTTTTGTTCTGTTTTGTTTTTTGAGTCAGGGTCTTGCTATGTAGTTCAGGCTAGTTTTGAACTCACTATGTAGACTAGATTGACCTTGAATTCATGGCGATCCTCCTGTCTCCACCTCTGGAGTGCTGGGATTACAAGCGTGGCTGACAGTGCAATTTTAAACTACTGGAAACGGCTGTGCTCTACAGTAGGAAAAGAAAATGAGGTGGTGTAGAGGGAAGAGGTTGGTACAACCCAGTGATAGGCCCCTAAGGCTGGGCTATTGAAGAGTAGCCTGGTATTTTCCACAGAGCCTGCTACCCTCAGGGGATCCTGCTAATCCCTGAGGGGCTTTGGAAAAGAAATCCTGCCCTTTAGTTTTCATTCAGGTGCTAGGACACCTGGGGGACTGAAAAATGCTAGAGCTCTGGACAAAGAACACTAGGGCTTAGGTTTTAATTCCTCCAGACATAGTTGTGTGAACTTGAGTAAGTCATGTCCATTTCCTCTCCTAAACCTCAGTTTTCTCTGTCAAACCATGATCGATGCAGTGAGAATGAGAAACAATTCTGCACCGCACCTCATACAGCACAGGAAGCAGTTTTTAAATAAAACCGCAGAGCTGAGGTTAACGTGTAGTGAAAGCTCAATGAAGATAGCATTCACTACCAGCAAGAAGACTTGGGAGTTTTTCAAGGAGATGGACAGTAGGAGACCGAGCCAGCCTCAGGAGAAGGTGGCCTTTTCGCATGCGCGCAGTCCAGGAACCACACGGAGCAGCGAGGGGGCGGGGCCGGGTTTCTGAAGGGGTTGCTATGGCACCGAGGGGCCAGGGGAGGTTAACCGAACCTTTAAACATTGCTCCCTCCCCCACCCGCCCTCTCCAGGGCCCAGGGCCATTGTTCCCTGCAAAATGGCGTCAGTAAACCTCCTCCTAGTCACAGGCCTTAGTAACGCTGAAAGTGGGAGTGGGACTGAAGGTGAAAACAGAAACTACAATTCCCAGGGTACACCGCACCTGCCTGTGAGGCACAGGACACGTGCCCAGGCCTAGCGGTTACAGGCCGTCAAAATTCCGTTTCATAGCTTCCCTTTCCCATCCCTGCTTTGGTTGTTGCCCAGCTCCCGCGCGCGCGCACTGCGGTCCGCGGTGGAGAGGGAACGACATGCCGTGGCCGTTGCACTTGCAACGTAACCGAGAGACCGGTATTTGTAAATCTGTGCTTCGACTTTTAATCCCGAAGCCGGCAGGTAGGAGTCTCGCGAGAAAAACCGCGAGTTGAAAAAAACGGAGCTGGGGTGGCGGGTGAAACGGTGCTGGCGGGTACCACATTTCCACAGAGCTACCGCATTGAATGGCTTGCGGAGAATTGAGAGTGGGCGCTGGGTGGTCAGGAAGTAGTGTGTGCTTTTTCTTTTTTGAGGGAGAAGGCAAAGCAGCTGTGAAGAGAACGAGAGATTCAGAACACACAGGAGATGTCGCGCGTGGCTCCTCACTGAAATTTTTTTTGGAAAGGGGAAAAGCCTTTCTCCTCGACGCGCATCTCTACTGCTGCGTTGAAGAAGGCGGGAGAGCCGTGCGCACGCTCTAGTTGGCTAGCCACTCGGCACCTCGTTGCAATAGGGGCTGCTCAGAGTTGGGGCTGCTCCGTTGGCTTTCTCTGCCCCTCCCCCTCTTCTTTTCTCCCCTCCCTTCCTCGCCCCCCTCCGCCCCTCTCTACCCGTCTGAATTCCCTGGCTGGAGTACGCGTGCGCTTGGTCAGCTCCCTTCGAGCGCGAGCTAGGGCTCCTACCCCGCTCCTCTAACCCCGCCCGCTCTTTACCTACCAGCCGTAGCTAGCCCTGTGGGCTCAAGGGGAGACGCTCGCGCGCACGCGCACACGACTCGGAGCCGAGCCCGAGACCTCGAGGAGGGGAGTAAGAAGCATCGGAAGAGGCGGTAGAGGAGGAAGAGGCGGTGTGTTTGTGTGTATGTCTCTGTTCTACGGTGTGGCTTGTCGGGGGGCTGGAGGAGGGTTGAGAGGGCGAGGAAGAAGCAAAAAGTCAGTCTCCCTCCTTGAAAGCGTCTAGTCTGGTGAGGGTCTCGGCTGGTTGGGGCTGTGGGAGAGGAGGAGGAGGCCGGGGGGCGTGTCTGGGATCGGGCTGAGAGATGAATGGGCCAGGGATGAATGGAGGGAGACAGCGGCGGCCAAGAGTCTGTTCCCAATAAGCATCCTAGTGGGGGCCAGCTTGACCGAGGCCGGGTGAGTGCCATCACCAGTGGATACTGGAGGAGTCTGAACTGGGATCTTTGGGGTTGTCGGAGCTGCTGTCGTAGTGACGGATTAGGCGGAGAGGAAAATTAAGAGGAAGAGAGAGTGGGGAAGGGTAGATTTGAGGTTGAGATGCATTTTTCTTTTTCTTTTCTTTTTTTGTTTGGAGGGGGTGACAACTTTGAGAGAAGATGAAGGACCATGGGACAGGGAAGGTGAGGATTCTAGAGGAAGATCAGGAGACAGTTGACAAAGGACCGAGTAATCATTTAAGTGAGATTGAGGCTACTGAAAGAGAAGATCGTTTCGGGTGTGGGAAGTTGAGTAAGGTTTCAGTGTTTGTATTGATGAAAATTGGGTGGGGAAAAGAGTGGATTTAATTTTTAGGTTCATATGGTATGTGGTGTGTGTCGACTGGATCAGAGTAAGGAATATTGCAGTCTGGTTTTGTAAATGTATTAGGTTCAAGGGGATTGAGAGGTGTTATTTGGAAAGGGGTGGTGTGTGTTGTGTGACTGACATGTTGGGGATGGCAAGGAGATAGCATGATAGGGCTGGGATAAAAGTGAGGTGGCTTCTTTGTATGGAAAGAGGTTTTGTTTGACTAAAGAGTGGTGAAACATTTATGTAGTGGGGTGTGGGTGGAAGCCCTGCAAGTGTGTATCTCCGTATCTCAGGAGTTGAAAGATGTTAAAATGAGAATGAACCTCAAAACAGATGCAAGTAGCACGCCTTATTCCTTTTTAAGAGTTACTGCTGAGGCAGCTATATGAATAGCCTTTGGTGAAAATTGTTTAGTTAAGATTGCATCCTAATTTTTTTGAGGCTTTGTTACCTGTTTTTCATCTGTAATAAGTTTGAATATCAAGAGAACTTTTGACGAGGTCCTAGTATATGACACAGAGCCACAGGTGTCTTCTCGAAATCTCTATCCTGTGGATTGATGAACTTAAAAATTGTTTAAACTCGACAGTCCAAGGGAAAGATACTTTGCATTCAAGTATAGCTAAAATGTACTAAAGCTTATTTTGAGTGCTTAAATAATTACACATGATACTTTTGGTCGCACATCGTTTCTGGTAAGGATGTGTTGTGATGATTTCATTCTGTTTTAGGTCACAATTTATTGTTATGGATTTCTAACTTTTCATGATTATTTTTACAAATTTTATTATTACAAATTTTACTGACGTATTGAGTTCTCTTGGAAATGTTGCAAATTTGAGAACATTTCTTGTATACTGTTTTGATATTGGAAAGAATGTCATGTTTTAATGGCTACTCATAATTTGAATACAAAAGTTAATACTGTGTTTATAGTTTGTCAAATTGAGGTGAATACTATGTATATGTATATATATATAGATATATATATATATATAGAGAGAGAACAAACCTATAACAGCTCTGCCAGGCAAAGTGGTCTCCTAGTTTTGAACCAGGTGTTCTTCGAGTGGAAGGCATTCAAGTATAGAGGCTAGAAAATGTAAGCATGGTATATTTAGGGACTGGAATGAGATAAGGCTGGACTCTTAAGGCTGAAATGAAGGACTAGACTTAGCTCTACCTTCAAAAATTCTTTTTCTTTTTTCTTTTCTTTTCTTTTCTTTTTTTGAGACAGGATCTTCCTGTATAGTCCAGGATGGCCTTGAACTCACTATGTAGCCCAGGCTGGCCTTGAATTTGGCAATCCTCCTGTCTTGGCCTCTCGAGTGCTGTGATAGCAGGCACTAGCAGGCACGTGCTAAATCCCTGACCCAGTTGTAAGAGTTTTTAAAAAATCTATATTCTAGATACTAGTCCCCGATGAGATATGTGGTTTGCAAATAGTTTATTTCATTCTAGAGTTGTCTTTATATGTGTGTGTATATATATATATATTTTTTTTTTGGTACTGGGTTGCCTTTTTATTTTTTATAGTGTGCTTTGAGGCACAAGAGTTTTGAAATTTGATGAAGTCCATTTTATCTGTTTTTTTCTTTGGTTTCTTGTGCTTTCAGTTTTAATCTAAGAAATCATTGCCATTTCCAAGGTCATGACAATTTACTCCTATATTTTCTTTGAAGACTTACAGTTTTGGTTCTCATGTTTAGGTCTTTGATCCATTTTGAGTTCATTTTTGTATGTGACATGAGTTAAGGATCCAGCTTCTTTCTTTTGCAGGTGTGTTAACTTGCAGTTTTTAAAATGTTTGTTTGTTTGTTTGAGACAGTCTCTCTATGTAGTGCAGGCTGCCCTTGAACTCACTATGTAGCCCAGGTTGGGCTGAAACTCACAGCGATCCTCCTGCCTCAGCTTCCTGAGTGCTGGGATTACAGGTGTGTGCAACCGTACCTGACTGCAGTTTTTAAAAATCTAAAATACCCAGTACACAAGTCTATAAATGTATATTATATAAAGCTATTTGTGACAACATCCAGTCCTTTTTGGGCAGTTGTGTGTGTGTGTGGGGGGGGTGTTTCTAAATGCATTTTTTTATGATGCTGAGAATGAAACTCACGGCCTTGTGCATGTTAGGCAAGCACTCTTCTGAGCTTCCACCCAGGTCCTCTAAATGCATTTTGTTTTTCTTGTTTTTTTTTTTTTTTTGGCACCGGGGATCAAACTCCGGACCTTGTGCTTGCGAGGCGGGTTGCGGCACCACTAAGCTAAATCCCTGGCCCTAAATGAATTTTTTTTTGGTGGTACTGGGAATGGAACTCAGTACTTTACCACTGAGCTACATCCTTTTTGTTTTGACACAGAATATCCTAAATTGACTAGGTTGGGTTTGAACTTGAGATTCTCCTGCCTCATCCTCCTTCATTGCTGGGATTACAGGTGTACACCACTATGCCTGGGTTCTAAATGTGTTTTTGAAGGCCATATATTGTATTTGAAATGTGGGGAAATTTCAAAGGTCCTTATGAATCATTGAGATTTTTACGATCAGGAAGCCTCAGTATGTCTCAATCAGGAAACTTCAGTATGTCGAGCTAAACAATCCTTATGCTAAAGTTACATAAGGTATTTTTAGTTAAGAGTTTTTTGTTTGCAAATTGTATAAGGTTAAATCTTTGTTTAAAACTGGGAATAAACAGTTTTGGTCTATAATTATGTATTATTTAACCAGAAATTGGCATATATTTTAAAAGCAGTTATGCCTGTTATATTGTTTATGATTGTTCAGATCTGTAATCTAGCCAAATATTTTGAGCCAACTTCTTAACTAAAATGTATGTCAATCAATACTTTCCAGAGACTTTTCATTTGTAGCTTCAGCTATAATCACCCACGTATTATTTTGATAATTTAGGAATAATGTAAGATTATTTTATAGTTTAGTTACTTGTAAAAATGAGAATTAAAATTAGCATAGCACAATTGGTTGATAAATCTCAGCTTTTAGTTAAGCATAATTAAAATAGGGGCATTAATTTGTTTTTAAAACTAGGAGATTTTTTGTTTTTGTTTTTGTTTTTATTTATTTTTTTTGGTACCGGGGATGGAACTCGGGTCCTTGTGCTTTCGAGGCAGGCAGCGGAACCTATGTTTTGTTTTTTGTACTAGAGATTGAACTCAGAGCTTTTTCACTAAGCTACATCTCCAGCCCTTCTTTTATTTTTTATTTTGAGATAGGCTCTCACTAAGCTGCTGAATTGCCCAGGCTGTACTTGAATTTGGGATCCTCCTGCCTAGCTTCTCAGAGCTGGGATTATAGCCATATGCCATCATACCTGGCAGGAGATATTTTAAAATAAGCATGGGAAATTTGTGCTGATTCAGCTCCAAGAATTGATAATTTAGCTCCAAGAGTTGATAATTTAGCTCTGATTATGTCCACTGCTGCTCAGAGAATAAATTTTTGTGTGTGCTGGGTATGGATCTCAGGACCTCCTACATGCAAAGGAAGCACTCTAGTATTGAGCCACACCTCTAGTCCCAAGAGATTAATTTTTTGTTCTTGGGGCTACTGTGGTGGCCTTTCCACTTAGACAACCTTTGAAGGTTTCTAGCAAGAGATTAAAAACTTTTTTGTTTTGTTTTTTTGAGACAGGGTCTTGCTATGTAGTTCAGGGTGGCCTTGAACACACTGTGTGTAGCATAGGCTGGTCTGAATCCACAGCAGCCCTGCTTCAGCCTCCTGAGTTCTGGGATTACAGGCATGTGCACTGCTTGAAATGTAAACCTCTTGAAGATAGGTGGTTCATTTGCTAAGGAACCTTTTAAAGATACGGATGAGTTACTCTGAAATTGTTAGCCCAAGTGAATCACAGTAGGACATACAAGGTATTTGTAGTTTCTACCATTTGTTCCACAAATAATCACTACATTCCTGCAGTGTGCCAGTGTGGGCTTGTTGGGAGTAGGTGAAAAAGAAGGATTACAGTGGAGGATGATGGATGGTCAATAAATAAATAATTTTAGAAAATAAATATGAGGAAGAAAACTTTTAAAAGAGTGGTGGGATATTGGGGGAGGAGCTTCTATAGCTCAGGTAGCTAGGGAAGGCTTCTTTGAGGAGGTGACTTTGAATGAGAAGAGACCAGCTAGTATCTCCTGTGGGAGGGTCCAGACAGTGAAGGCAAAGACATGACTTGTGCTATCTCTTTTCACCATTTATTTCCCAAATGTCTGGTATATTCTTTGAACTGGATTTTTTTTTTCTTTTTTTTTGTGGTACCTTGGAATTGAACTCAGGGCCTTCCCACTGAGCTCCATTCCAACCCCTTTTTGTATTTTGAGATACAGTCTCACTAAATTGCTAAATTGCCCATGCTGGCTTGAATTTGAGATCCTACTGCCTCAGCCTCCCAGGCGATTACAGGTGTGTGCTGCCAAGCTAGGCTAAACAGGCTGTTACTGAATGAAAATTCTTAATGTCCTGTTGATTGAATTACATTGTAAGTTTTTTACTATTTAAAATGGATGAGTTACTACTTTTTGTTTCTAAGGAAAACCAAAACAAAAATAGGTACATTCCTTATGAGAAGAGACTGTTCTTCAGTGGAAATATTACTGAAGTAGGAGTCAGTTTCTCGATTCTAGCCTTGCCTCAGTGTGATCTTGTGTGTCTGTTAGCACCCTTTTCCTTGTTATTAAATAAAACAAAAGCCCTACCCCTACCTACTTTGCAGGGTTCCTTTGCTAACCAGTGAGAAAATACAGTTTGTAATACATATGAAATGTAATGTAGTCTATTAATATACTTTTGGAAAGGATCTCAATTGAGAAATGTTTTCCCATCAATTTAAAGCTTTTATGTTTCTATCCATCTGGTAAATTTTAGCACCAAATGTCTAAATTCATTGATTAATAAGGAGAGGTTGAGTTCTTAGAAAGTGGTATTTTGGTAGAAAGTATGTCGGATTTAGAATTAGAAAACCAGGGCCGGGGATTTAGCTCAGTGGTTCTGGCTCCTGCCTCACAAGTGCAAGGTCCCGAGTTCAATCCCCGGTACCAAAAAAAAACAAAACAAAACCCCAAAAAACTAGAGTTCCAGAATTCTCCCTTTCATTTAGCAGCTCTATAACTTGGGCAAACTTCTGTGAACCTTCCTGATTTTCAGAATTCAGATTAATTCCAAGTAGCTCTCAGGATTGTTGTTAGGAGTAATTGAGTAAAATAGATGAATTTTTTTGTTGTTGGTGGTGCTAGAGGTCTTGCATTCAGGCTGTACCACTGAGCTGCATTCCCCAGCCCCACCCTCAGTCCCATGAAGTTCTTTTGAAAATGATAAAGCAGGGGTCAGCAAACTTTTTTGGTGATAAAAGGCCAGATAGTAAATATTTTAGGCTTTGTGGGCCATGAAGTATCTTTTGGAATTACTCAACTCAGCTGTTGTAGAAGCCATGGACAATGTGTAAACAAATGAATTGTGGCCACGTTACTGTAAAACTTTAGTTTTTGGGCACTGAACTATGAATTTCAAGTCATTTTTTTTTTGCAAGTCATTTATATAAGTCATGAATAACTTCTTTTGTTTTTGGTACCGGGGATCGAACTCGGGACCTTGTGCTTGGGAGGCAGGCGGCAGAACCACTGAGCTAAATCCCCGGCCCCTGTAGCTCATTGGTAGAGCACTTGTCTTGCATACATGAGGCTGTGGGTTCTATCCCCTAGTACTGCAAAAAAGAAAAGACCAAAAATCCCAGGCAGGATGATTACTTGCTCACAGGAGTTCATGGACAGCCTGGGTAACATAGGAAGACCCCATCTTACACTAATAAATAAAAATAATAAAAGCTTAGTATATACTATAACTTTTTTTGTAGTATTAGGATTGAACTCAGGGTCTTCCCAAGGAGCTAAATTCCTATCTCTTTTTGTTTTTTATTTTGAGAGAAGGGCTTGTTAAGTTGTTAAATTGCCTAGGCTGGGCTTGAATTTGTGAACCTCCCTCCTCAGCCTCCCACGGTGCTGGAATTACAAGCATGCACCACCACACCCAGCCACCGTAATATTTTTTTGTGGAAAAAGGGAAGGAGAGAACATATATTTGCCTAAAGGGACTCTGAAGGGGACTGGAGTGTGTAGCTTATTTTTATGACTTTTTTTTTTTTTTTGGGTACCAGGGATCGAACTCAGGACCTTGCGCTTGCAAGGCAGGTGCAGAGCCATTGAGTTAAATCCCTGGCCCTGAAAAAAGAATTTTAAAAAAGGAAAATGATATGAACAAATAATTCACACAGGATGAAAAATGAAAGAGCCAATAAATATGAAAAGACCCTAAATCTTGCTAGTCATCAAGAAAATTAAGAGTGACACAGAGCAAAGGAGATTAGCTTAATTTCCATTTATATGCAATCACATTGGTAATATTTCATACCCATATTGACAAAATTATATTTAAAAAATCAATTGCCTAGTAATACTGTACTAAGTATTGGTAAGAACATGAAGAAAAAGAAACTCAGATGTTATTGGTGAGACTATGAATAAGTATAGCCACTATGAACATTAATTCAGCAATATTTAGTAAAATTAAAGATTGTGCCGGGTGTGGTGATGCACAGGTCTAATGCCAGTACTTTGGGAGGCTGAGGCAGGGGGATCACAAGTTCAAGGCCAGCCTGGGCAATTTAGCGACTTAGTAAGACTGTCTCAAAAATAAAGAAAAATGGACTGGCATGTAGCTCAGGACAAAAGCACTGGGATTAGTCCCCAGTAGTAGGAAAAACAATTCATATCCTCAGTGTATCCTTGTTTTCAGCCCTTTTTTTTCACTCTGCCCCCTTGTGGGTTCAGTCTTCAGACTACAGGATTCTACCCTGCAAATCTGCTCCCTCCTGTTAGAACCTTGTCTGTTTCCACTACATAATTTAAGTTGTAGCATTCTTTGATTTGCGTTATCAACTGGTTCTTTTCTGTCTGCTCTCTGCCAGAAATTGTTAAAATCTTTTATCTGTCATACTGTTTTCCATTTGTATCACTGACTTGTGATTTACATTTTTGTAGTCCTTTACCATCACTTTTCTGGGTTCCTGGAAAGAACAAGTGATATAGATGTTCGATTTACTTTCTTGAAGTAGAAGTCTACAGTAGTACATCTTTTTTTCCCCATTGTTGGAGATTGAACGCAGGCCCTTGAGCATGCCACGAAAGTACACTGAGCTACACTCCCAGCCCTCAGTGATATATCTTAACCTTGGATAAATTGTAGGCTCCTTGAGAACAAGGATTTATTTTTGTTCTTTGATTCTTGGATCTTGACACAGTGCTTGTAAATTGGTACTTGGTAAATGTTTATTGGCATGAATATATGTATATGACAAAAGAGTGGAGAATTTACTGCATAATTTTGACTTTATGCATTCTTTCAATTGCTGGTTCTAAAAAGGTAAAGAAATTTTTTGAAGCTGGTTATGGTGGTGCTCACCTGTAATCCCAGCACTGGTCTGAGGCTAGAGGATAGCTGCGAGTTTGAGGCCAGCCTAGTGAGTTCAAGGCCAGTCTGAGCTACATAGACTCTGTCTCAAAAAAAGAAAGAAAGAATAAAAAGAGAGAGAGAGAGAGGGAGGAAGGAAGGAAGAAAGAAGGTTCTTTGAGCCATTGTTGACAAAGTACATTCTTTTAATTATTTGTATGTTTTTCTTTTTCAGTAATGAAGATTGAACCTAGGGCCTTGTGCTTGTTGGGTAAGCACTCACCACTGAGCAATATCCCCATTCCTGTTTAAAATAAAAGAACATTATTTTGAGACAGGATTTCACCAAGTTCCCCAGACTGGCCTTGAATTTGCAATTCTCTTTTCCTTAGTAGCTGGGATTACAGGCGTGGGCCACTGTGCTTGGCATGTGATGTTTTTTGTTTGTTGTTGTTTTGAGATGGACTACAACTACTATATTTTGCTCCAGCTAGTTTTCAGCTCTTGGGCTCAAGCAGTACTCTTACCTCAGGCCTCTCAGTAGCTGGAACTACAGGTGTGCCCCACCACACCAGGCTTTACTGGTTTTATGTTGGATTTCCTATGGCTAGGACTAAGATAAACTACAGGGAAAAATTTATTTTGAACTTGTAACTCAAATGCTGCAAGCATATATAACAAATGTATTGAAGGAGGAGTGATAGGACATAAATTTGAGAGATTTTTTTTCAGTCTAATTTCAGTCTATAGAGAAGTGCTTTTATAATTGTCTTTATACATATTCCTAGGGCTTAGGTCAATGTATTTAACCATTTTATGAAGAAAATAGATCACACTTAGGTTGTGATATATAGCTATGAGCTTAATAGGAGACTGTATGTCTGAGGCCTGACCTTTGTTTTTTAAATGTTTATGATACATAGTAATTACAATCCTCATGGGGAGCTGGTATGTATATAACACATCTTCATTCTTTTTTCATCCCCTTCCTTTTTCCTATTGGCTCCTCTCCCTCCATCTCTTTACCTTCCCTTTTGCAAAAGATCTATCTCCTGTTTCCTATTATCTTTTATTTTACTCTTTAATTTACTTATATTTTGAGTTTCTCATATAAGGGAAACCTTGCATTATTTAAGCTTGCGTGTCTGATTTATTTCACTTAATGTGATCTCAGAGTGCATCCATTTTCCTACAAATGACTAAAATTTATCCTTGTTTTTGGCAGAGTAGTACTCCATTCTGTGTAAATACATTTTCTTTATCCACTCATCTGTTGATGGATTTATAAGCCACTTCCAAGATTTATCTATTATGAGTTGTGCTGCTATAAACATGGGTATGCGTGTATCACTTTAATATGCTGTCTTTAACTCTTTCAAGAAGATACCTAGAAGGAGAATAGCTGGGTCAAATGGAATTTCTAGTTTTAGTTTTCTTGAGGAATCTCCATAGTGATTTCTGTAGTGGTTGTACTAGTTTACATTCCCAACAACATTGTAGAAGGGTTTCTTTTTCCCGCATCCTCACCAGCATTTGTTATTTTATGATTTTGTGATGGTATTCTTTCTGGGGTAAGATGGAATCTCACTGTTGTTATTTTCTTCCCTTTTTTTTGAGGCATGATCTCCTATTTAGTTCAGGCTGACCTTTAACTCACTGTGTAGTCTAGACTGGCCTCAGACCTGCAGCAATCCTCCTGTCTCAGCCTCTCAAGAGCCAGGATTAGAAATGTGTGTCACCATGCCCAGCTCTCAGTGTTGTTTTAATTTTCATTTCTCTAATGACCAGTGATGTTGAACAGTTCTTCATATATTTATTGGCCATTTGTACTTATTTTGTACAATATTCATTTCACTTGCCCATTTTTTGATTGGGTCTTTTATTTTGAGGGGTCTAATTTTGATTATTTTATATATTCTGTATATTAGTCCTCTGTCTGAGGAATTGCTGGCAATATTTTTTTTCTATTTTGTGGGTTGTCTTTTCACCCTGTTGGTTGTTTCCTTTGCTGCGCAGAAACTTTGATTTGATCCCATTTGTTGATTCTTGGTGTTATTTCTTGTACAGTTGGGATTCTGTTCACAAAGTCCTATGTCTTCAAGATTTTACCTATTTTATCTTCTAACAGATTCAATCTTTCTGTTTTAACATTCAGTTCTTTTTTTAAACATTTAGTTCTTTGATCAGTTTTGATTTTAGTTTAGTACATAGTGAAGGATATGAGTCTAGCTTCAATCTTCTTTATATGGATAGCCAGTTTTCCCAGCATCATTTGTTTAAGAAGCTATCTTACATCCAGCATGTGCTTTTGGCCCCTTCGTCAAAGATCAGATGACTGAAGATGCCTGGGGTTGTTTTTGCATCCTCTATTCTGTTCTGTTGGTTCATATGTCTGTTTTTCTTGAGGCCTGACTTTTGCAGATTTTTCACTGAGCCATGTTTCTACATTGCTGAATGTAGAAGAGATATTATTTTGGTCACTGGGGTATATTTCTTTAGCAATGCCAACATTTCTTACTTGAATGCTTTTTAAAAATGAATTATATAATTTTCTGCCCTTCTAAATAGAGTCTCCTGAAATCATTTAATATTTTCTGTTGAATAGTGTTTTAGTATAGTATTGCCCCTAGAGGGTATTAAGAGATAGAAAATAAAAGCTTTGATTCATTGATTATTATAATCTCTCAGGCACTGTGCTAATTATTTTATGTGTATTTTCATCAGTCCTGTGAGATTTCACAAATGAAATAAAAAATAAGTAAAGTTAAATTATTTGTCCCCACTAAGTGTGGTGGCACATGCCTGTAATCCTAGCACTGTGGGAGGTTGAAGCAGGAAGATTGCAAGTTGGAGACCAACCTGGAAAATTTAGCAACTTAGCAAGACCCTGCCTTAAAATAAAAAATAAGAAAGGACTGGGGATGCAACTCAGTACAAAGATTCAAGCCCCTTTACAAAAAAAATTTGTTGCCCCAAGGCAGCACCAAGATTTGATTCCAGTTTTCTTCCACCCCATAGACTGTGCTCCTGAATTCTTCTTTATGGTCAAGAAACTGCTGGATCCATAATGAAGAGGTTCTAGGTAAATATTAGGAAAGCTTTTGGCCTGGTTGTTACAATTCATCATCATCATTATTATTGCTATTTATGTGGTGCTGGGGATAGAACCAAGGCCTTGGACATGTTAGGCAATTGCTGTACCGGTGAGCTACACCCCAGCCTCAAATTTATTTTTCTTATTTATTGTTTACCCTTAAATTATTATTATTTTAGTTATTTTCTCTTTCTCTGTCTCTCCGTCTCTCTCTATCTCTTTCTGTCTCTCTCTGTCTCTCTCAGTCTCTCTCAGTCTCTCTTTTTGTGTCTTTCTTTCTCCCTTTGAGACAGGATTTCATTATGTAGCCCAGGTTGTGGGGATCCTCCTGCCTCAGCCTCCCAAGTGCTGGGATTACAGGTGTGTACCACCACGCCTGGCATATTTTATTGTTGCAGGCATTTTCCCTCCAAAACAAGGGTTCTTGTTTTGACTAAAGAAATATTTTATTAAAAGCAGACATAGACGGAGAGACAGTACATCAACACTGAGGACAGGTCAGGCTAAAGATGAATGGACAGAATGAGGAGCAAGAGAGCAATATAGCTTTTAAAAGATATATTTGATCTTAGAAGTGTTTGGTTTTTTTTTTTTTTTTTTTTTGAGACAGGGTCTCGCTATGTAGTTCAGGCTGGTCTTGAACTCACTATATAGTCCAGGCTGGCCTTGATCTTGTGATCATCCTGCCTCTGACCCCCGAGTACTGGGATTATAGGTGTGCACCACCATACTTGGCTGTGCTTAAGATTCTTAAAGAGGGACATCGTATTATATTGAGATATAATTTATATATACCCCAGAGTCCCAGCTACTTGGAAGACTGAGGCAAGAGGACTGCTTCAGCCTTGTCTGTGAGTGAGAACCTTTTTTTAAAAAATCACCAAGGGGGCTGGGGATTTAGCTCAGTGGTTCCGCTACCTTTTGCAAGCGCAACGACCTGAGTTTGATCCCCAGTACCAAAAAAAAAAAAAATCACCAATTCAAATGTAAACATTTAGTAAATGTATAGAATTGTACAATTTTGATGACAATCCAATTCTATTATTTTTAGATTTTATTAAAAAGTGTTTTTTGTGGTCCTTGGGATTGAACCCAAGGCCTGGAGCATGCTAAGGCTGTGCTCTGCCACCGAGCTACACCCCAGCCCTATCATCTTATTTTAGATTATTACCATAATCCCCAAAAGATCTTTCATGCCCATCTGCAGTCAGTTCTTTTCCTGTGCCCCAGCCCCAGTCAACGAATAATCTCTTTTTTGTCTCTATAGATTTGTATTTTCTGGACATTTCATAGAAATTGAATCATACAGTATGTGGGCTTTTTCTTCTGGTTTCTTTCACTTAGCATAATGTTATCAGGTTTTATCTTTGTCATATGTATTAATACTCCATTTTTATTGCTGAGTAATATTCCATTGAATGTAAACAACATTTTTTAAATCCTTACATCGGTTATACATGTTTGGGTCATTTATACCTTTTAACTATGTTGGATAATACTGCTATGAACCCTTGTGTATAAGTTTTGTTTTGTTTTGTGTTTGGTGTTTTGAGACAGCATCTTGTCATACATTCCAGGCTGGCTTTGAACTCACCATGTAGCCCAGGCCAGCCTTGAACTAACAGAGACCCTCCTACCTCAGCCTCTGAGTGCTGGGACTTACACACAAGTGCTGGGATTACAGATGTGTACCACCACGCATGGTTTGTGTACAGATTTTTTGTGTAGATTTTTTGTGTGTACATACATGCATGTGTGGTATTAGGGATTGAATTCAGGGCCTTTGCACTGAGCTATATCCTCATCCCTTTTTAAATTTTTTATTTTTCAGACAGAATCTTGCTAAATTGCTAAATTGCCCAGTTTGGGCTCAAACTTGCATTTCTCCTGCCTTGACCTCCCACAGTGCTGGAATTATAGGCATGCGCCATTGTGCATGGTTTAAACATGTTTTTATTTATTTTTTTGGCATTTTAATTAATTGATTCATTTCTTTACACATATCTGAAAGTGATGCGACATGTTTTTATTTCATTGGGTAGAGGCTATCATATGGTAACTGTTTAACTTGCATATGACAATGTTGCACCATTTTATACTGTATTCTCATCAGCAGTGTATGAAGATTATATTTTTTCTACATCTTTGTGGGTGTTTTCTCTCCTCTTTTTTCCCCCTGGTACTGGGGATTGAACCAAGGCCTCACATATGCTAAGCCAGCTCTCTACAGCTGACCTACAACCCCAGACCTGTTTTTATTTTTTATTTTGAGACAGGGTTTCCCTAAATTGCCCAGGCTAGCCTAGAATTTATGATCCTCCTGGCCCAACCTCCTGAGTAGTTGGGATTATAGGATGTACAGTACTACACCCAGCCTTTTTAGACTGTGTAACTAGCTTTTAAAAAACTATTATTATTTTATTATTTTTACTATACTGGGGATTGAACCCAGGGCCTTCACACCGAACTATGTTCCTAGGGCCCCCCCCCCCCCCACTTTTGAGACAGGGTCTTGCTAAGTTACTGAATTGCTGAGGCTGGGCTCAAGCTTGCCATCCTCCTGTCTCAGCGTGCCAGAGTGCTAGGATTACAGGCCTATGCCACCACACTTCGCTCATTTTTGTTTTGGTTTCCATTTCCTTAATGAATTTTTTTTGTGCTTACTAGCCATTTATATACAGTAGTTCCTCCCTTTTTCAACAGAGGATACATTCCAGGACTCAGTGGATACCTGAAACTATGGATAGTACCAAATCCTATATATATATATATATATATATATACTGTATTTTTCCTGTACATATAAAATTTAACTTATAAATTAAACACAGTAAGAGATTAGCAACATAACTAAAACAAAATAGTACAATTATAACACTGTAATATAAAAGTTATGTGAATATGGTCTTTCTCTTCCTGGAATTTTTCATTTAATATTTTTGGACTGTTTGACTTCGAGTAGTTTACACTACAGAAAATGGGGGTGGGTGGGTGTTGTATCTTTTTTTTTTTTTTTTGAGACAGGATCTCACGATGTAGTTCAGGCTGGCCTTGAACTAACTATGTAGCATAGGCTTGCCTAAAACTCACAGTGATCCTCTTGCCTCAGCCTCCCAAGTGCTGGGATTACAGGTGTGCCCCACCATGTGTGGCTTGTATCTTCTTTATATATTCTTGTTACTGTCCCTTATATATCTGGTTTGTACAATTTTTCTCCCAGCTGATAAGTTGTCTTTTTCCTTTCTTTTAAAAAAATCTCCCCCACCATCTTCTCTCTTTCTTTTGCCCCTCCCCTTTCTTTTTGAGACAGGGTCTTCTTGCTCTATAATTCAGGCTAGCCTTTATCTCACTATGTATCTCAGACTGGCTCCTAACTTGTGGCAGTCCTCCTACCTCAGCTTCCCAAGTGCTAAGATTCCGGATATGAGCCACTATGCCCAGCTCGCTCGCTCTTTTTCTTTTTCTCTCCTTCTTTTTTTCCATTTTGTTTTGTGATAGGGACTATGTAGTTTAGGCTGGCCTTGAATTCACTGTGTAGCCCAGCCTGGCCTTGAACTTGAGTTCTCCTGCCTTAGCCTCCCCAGTGTTGGCATTACAGGCATGCGCCAGCATGCCTAGCATCACTTGACTATTTTTTGATGGGGTCTTTTATTTTGGGGCTCTAATTTTTTGGGGTTCTTTTACATATTCTTGATATTAGTCCTCTGTCTAAGGAATAGCTGGCAACATTTTTTTCCCATTCTGTAGATTGTCTTTTCACTGTGTTGGTTGTTTCCTTTGGTGTGCAGAAACTTTTTAATTTGATATGATCCCATTTGTTGATTCTTGTTACTTCTCGTGCAATCATGGTTTTGTTTAGAAAGTCCTTGCCTGTGCCTATAATTTTAAGAATTTTACCTATTTTATCTCCCAGCAGGTTGTGTTTCTGTTCTAACATTTGCTTCTTTGATCAATTTTAATTTTAGTTTAGTACATGGTGAATGAGATGGGTCTAGATTCAATGTTAAGAGGCTATATTTTCTCCAGTGCATATTTTTGGCCCCTTTGTCAAAGATCAAATAATAGAATGTAGTTGGGGTTGTTTCTGCATCGTCTATTCTGTTCCATTGATCCTTATGTCTGTTTTTGTGACAGTACAACTCTTTTTTTTTTTTTTTGGTACCGGGGATCGAACTTGGGACCTTGTGCTTTCGAGGCAGGTGGCGGAACCACTGAGCTAAATCCCCAGGCCCTGACAGTACAACTCTTGATTCTGATATTAACACAGATATATTCTAGTAGCACTATCTAGTTGGGAAATTGTTGGGAGTTTTTGTGGAAGTCTTTATTTTTCCTCATAGCTGTATTCATTCAAGTAGTAAATCTTGCATTTAATACTTCCTTAATATATCCTGAGTGCATCCTTCCTGCCACTATTTTTATTCAAGCCTCATCATCTCCTTCCTGGATTAATGTAGTAGCTTTTTAATTGGTCTTGTTTTACATTGTATGGATAGAAGTTCCTTAGTGACTATTTGCTTTTATGTCCTCAGCTACCTTCTTACAATATGCAAGTAAACTGCCCATGGTACTGTACCAGGCACTTAGGCTCATATGCTCAGGTTCATTTGCTTGCTGCTGATGAAATTAAAGGAGGCTGTATATTTTGGTAAAAGAGGAAAAAAGATTTATTCAAGGCTAGCTCCGAGGAGATGGAGGGGCCCATTTCCCTTAAATCACCATTTCACCATGTACAGGTGGGTAAGTCTTTTATAGTGAGGAATAAAAGGGAGGGGAAGCAGAGAGAGACAATGTAGCTCTCTCTGCTTGCTTTATCATTTCCAGCAGTCTTCAGCTCATTGTCCCCTTTAGGTGGAAGGAAACTGGGCTCCTGCCTCCTGGTGCTAGCATCTGAGGATTTTGTCACTTCATCTGGGGTGAGGAGAGGAGGAAGTATTGGCTATATGCTCAGCAAGATGAAATGGAGAAATTGCTTATCTCTATAATAA